GGGGGGTTCCGGGGGGGGGTTGGGGGCGGGTTTTTTTTGGGGGGGGGGCTTTTTTTCCGAAATACAAACAAAGGGGGGGGGTGTTGGGAGGGGTTTTTTCCTTTAAATGGGGGGGGTTTTTTGGACTTTGTTTGGAAAAGGGGGGGTTTTTAAAAGGGGGGGGGGTCCGGGGGGAAGGATTTTTATTTGTTTTTTTTGGGGCATTTAGAAACGGGGGGGGTTTTTTTTTTTAAAAAAAAAAAAAATTTAGGGTTTTGGGGTTTTATTTTTTGGGGGAACGGCCCCGGGGGGTTTTTGGGGGAGGTTTTGGGGGGGGTGGGGGTTGGGGTTTTGGGGATTACCCCCGGGCTTTTGGGGAAAAGGGTTTGGCCCCCCAAATTTTTTTTTTTTTTTAATTTAAAATGGGGGAAAGGGGAAAGGCCCCCCCAACCTCCTTCCAAAAAAAAACCGGGCGGGGGGGGGGATTTAGGGTCATGGCATCACATTTTTGGGCACGCCCCCCCCCCCCCCCCCTTTGACACGATCCCCCCCTTGAAATCTCCTGAACGAACGTGCGGATGAACTACGGACGTGCGGAACCAATTACCCCGCAGTCCCGAGCTTGCCTTCGGCTGGAGGCTGACCAGAGGTGGGCGGTCACGGGGACTCCCATCCAGAACAGCCTCGACGACATGGCCGCCCTCCTGGCGTTCTTGCGGCACGAGCCTTGGAGCGACCGCGGCTGGTGGAGGAAGGTCATCTCCGACCCATACAAGGTTTGGCTTAGGAGTTGTGCACCGAGAGAAATGGCACGATTTTTCTCCAGTGAAGCATGCTCTGCTCGTACACTGTATGACACAAGGACCAAAACTAGATTGTAGTGCACTTCGAAGTATATATTCACGGTTGGGGTTCTGAGGTTGGATATCGAGATGTCGAGAAAGGGAGAGGGGTGATCGAATTTGTAACGTGGCTCCCTTTCGACGTGACAGCAGTTAATCGTGTAGGGGGTGGAGAGGTGTGGATGTCTTGTTACTGTCGTTTCCTCCTCGCTAATTTTCCGTACATAAAAAGCTCGCCAGCGATGTTGTTTATTTCGATGGTGGTAGTGTGGCAAAGAACTCACGATCCCGGTTGTACTCTTTTGGTACCGCGCGCCCCTCCACCAGTTCCGTTCCAGCCCACCCCGATTGCCACGATAATCTCGCATTCATTCACCCTCCTCCTCTCCCCCCCCTCATCTCGCTCGCGTTTGCGCCATCGCCGTTGTAAAAGGATGGTGACGCGGAAGCACTTCGTCGGCTGAAAACCGTGCTTGCTCCAATCCTGCTTCGAAGGACCAAGGTGCGGGGGTGTTGGCAAAACGCTAACGCTGCACCACTGCGGCCAGTCGATCGAGAGGGGGGGTGGGGGTGCAGGACGCACGTCTTACCCACCTGAGTACTTGTTAAAAATTGTGCGACAGTTACGTGTTTGTAGGTTTCTCATTTTGTTGAACAAGACTTAATTTGTCATTTGTAAAACAATGTCTGCCTAGTTTTCGTATCTGCGAGCCACCGCTCTTCGAAGAGAGGAGGCATAGACCGCTCTGCTTGTCTCCCGGTCCACGCGGTGTGTCCCGGCATCTGCAATTGTTGGGCGCCGTTCTTTAGTTCATCCATCTATTCATCTTGGTCTTCGTTCTGTGTGCAGCTGGTTAGGTCGTCTGAAAATGGCGGCCGTCCTATTTTAAGGCGGGTGAAATTGGCGGCCATAAGGTCAATTTTTTTTACATACCATGGAATAAGGCGGCTGCCCCATATAAGGCGGGCATTTATCAGCTGCCCCACCACAGCCTTCTGCGGGGACCCTCACTGCACGCGTGTGTGTGTTTTCTCCCCTTTTGTTGATGTGATTATGCATACCATCAATCACACTTTGGCTGTCGGTGGATGGTTCATTTATTTCAACACGGACGGAATGGCAGAGCACGCTCGACTCTCGCGGGCGTCCGATCGTGGAGCTGCCCCCCAAGACGGTGGAGATCGTGCGGCTGCAGCTTTCTGCCGAGGAGAGGGAGTTTTACGAGGCTCTCAAGAAGCGCTCAAAGGTTCGTTCGGGGTTGAGTCTTGAGTTGCTTATTTGGCGTCCGTTTGTTTGTCTCCTGACTGCTGCTGCTAGCAGACATGTACACCCCCTTTTTTCTTTGAACTTCGAAGTACGTGTACCACCTCCTTTGCGACAACTATCGCGGCGGAAATGTGTTGTGGCAATGGCAGCTGATCCTTAACTTCCATAAGGCGATCC